AGCTCGAAAGAATCAAGGAAGGAATGAAAGATGGCGTCAACGGACCATTTAAGATTCATGAAGATGGGAGCATCCGATACAAGGGAATGTGGTGTGTTCCACTGAAGTGTGCAGATATTAAAAAACAAATCATGGAGGAGGGACACAACACGCCCTACTCGGTACATCCCGGGGGAGACAAACTATACAAAGACATCAAAAAGAACTTTTGGTGGCCGGGAATGAAGAAAGAAGTAGCCGAATTTGTATCCCGATGTTTGAACTGCCAAAAAGTCAAAGCGGAGAGATGCAAACCCAAGGGACTCGTGCAACCCTTGGAAGTACCAACATGGAAATGGGATTCAATCTCGATGGACTTTGTCGGGGGTTTACCTTTAACAAAGTCCGGGAAAGATAAAATTTGGGTGGTAGTGGATAGATTGACAAAAACTGCAAGGTTCATTCCTATGAATGAAACCTGGAGCATGGAGAAACTGGCGAAAGCCTGTGTCAAACACGTGGTCAAACACCACGGAGTACCTCAATACATCGTATCAGACCGAGATTCATGATTCTTATCCCAATTTTGGAAAGAATTACAAACGGCTATGGGAACAAAATTGAAGTTAAGTACTGCTTTCCATCCAACCACGGACGGACAGACTGAAAGAACAATCCAAACATTAGAAGACATGTTGAGGGCATGTGTCCTTGATTTGAAAGGATCATGGGATGATCACCTAGACTTGATAGAGTTTTCGTACAATAACAGTTACCATGCTAGCATCAGAATGGCCCCATACGAAGCTCTATGCGGTCAAAAGTGTAGGAGTCCCTTATGTTGGGGTGACATGGTCGATCAGGTGGTTCTAGGACCACAATACTTGCAAGATACTATTGAGAAAATCAAAGCTATCCAAGAAAGGATGAAGGGGTGTAATGAGGTTCTGCCCAAGACCGACAGAAATCATATGCCGATCTTGGGAGGAAACCAGCTGAATTCGAACTAGGGGAGAAAGTTCTACTCAAAGTCTCTCCTACAAGGGGTGTAATGAGGTTCGGGAAGAAAGGGAAACTAAGCCCGAGATTCATCGGACCCTATGACATCCTAGAGAAGGTGGGAAAAGTGGCATATCGATTAGCTCTACCCACGGAGTTGGATAAGGTAACAACCGATTTAAAAACAAATACTTTTCAACGATTAGAATTCATCCTTAACATACAAACTTGTGCTAGGTACATAACGTCTTTCACGTATCACAATTAAAGAAGTACGTTCGAGATGAGTCACATATCATCAATCCTGAGGTAAGAGACCCTAAACTTAACATGAACCAAAGTAAATTGGAAATAATATAAGTTAACCCTTATATTATTAGGTGATTGAACTGGATGAGGCGTTATCCTATGAAGAAAAACCCGTAGAGATCCTTGATACTAAAACCAGAGAGACGAGGAAGAAGACAGTTAAGATGGTAAAAGTACTTTGGTCAAACCATTTGACCGAGAATGCAACATGGGAGACAGAAGAGGATATGCGTAAACAGTATCCTGAACTGTTCAACTAAGGTAAATATTGGGTTACGAGGACGTAACCTTTCTTTTAGGGGGGCAGGTTGTAATATCTTATAAACCTGTAATACTTCATCTTCATACTCAATTCTTGTCTTAGTTTATGCTTCGAGGACGAAGCATTCTTTAAGGAGGGTAAAATGTGATACCTTGAAAATTTGAAATAAAAATAAATAAACAAATCAGATAAGTTATATCTGATAAATCAAATGAAAGTAATATCAAAGTATATTTTTATTATACTTGGTGTATAAAAATATACGCACACTACATGCAATAGAATTAAACACTTATGTGGCATCAGAAAAATAAAATAAAATAAAAATAAAAATAAACCAGATAAAATATATCTGTCAGAGTAAATGGAAATAAATAAAATAATTACAAGTAACTTTATAAACATTAATGAAATAAAAGAAATATAATACAAATGAATAAACTGTAAGTATATATAAGTAATATACTATATATAACTATATATATATATATATATATATATATATATATATATAGTACGTACATGCATTTTTTTTTTTTGAGCCTGGAGTGGGGGCCAGGACGTACATGCATATATATATATATATATATATATATACAGTGGCGGAGGTACTGGGGGGTCAAGGGGGTCCACTGACCCCACTGGAATTTCAGAAAAAATTAAAAAAAAAAAAAATTTTTTAATTAAAAACAGCGTCGTTTTGAATGAAGGGTTAATACACAGACCTAGTTGCCCGTCTGCGGTCTGCCTGAAGTTTGTAAACCCACATACCGCTGAATCCGCCCTGTAGCTTAATCTGCATCGCCCATAGCTGTCTTCTACGCTCTCCGCAAAGGCGCCAGAGCCGCAGCCCGCAGGCCCGCAGACGCACAGACTGCAGTGTTCTTTTCCAACCCTCTTCAGGCTTTTGTTTTGTCTTCAAGGCTTCATCTAATTGATTAATTGTGCTCCGTCACTGCTTGCAGAGTTGCAGAGTTGCAGAGTTGCAGGTTAGTTTCTATTCTTCTAAAGTTCTAATTAAAATAATTGATGATTTCATTGATTTGTAGAGATGTAGTGTTACAAGTTAGCTTGAAGTGGTATTAATTTCATACTCTGTAATCCGTATCTCTTCTTGCATAATAATTTGGGTATAGCCCTAATAGCCGTATAGTAATTGGGTGATTGAGTATTTGAGTTTATTAGCATTAAATGTCACTATGCAGTTTGTGTTGTGCTATGTATTTGGGCATTTGAGTTTATTATTTCTATCATTACTTTGCTAAATTAAATAATGTTAAATGATTAAGTATATGAATGAATTTGTGTTGTCACTGTATTATAGATTATTGCAATTTGTGATTTTGTATTTTCAGTTATCACATAGCTATGAGTGAAAACAGCTCCCACAAAAGAAAAGATAGAGCCGAAGAGGTATTATCAAATCAAGATAATCCAATCATATCGAGGGTTCGTCAAGTTATTGAAAATAATATGGAGGAACTAGAGAGGGATCCGGCTAAAAGGAAGAGTATTTGTGATTATGATGTAAATGCAAGGGATATTGTGCGAAGACGTTATCTACAAATGGGGCCATTTCAACCTCAAAACTACAAGTTTCCTACTAGAGTGATTTCTGGGGCTAATAGAAGATTTAATCCTCTTTGGTTTAAAGAGTTTAGCAATTGGCTTGAATATAGTATATCGGAGGATTCTACTTACTGTTTGTTTTGCTACCTTTTTAAAGATGGAAGTCATGGACACCAAGGTGGCGGGGAGGCTTTTGTTACGGAAGGGTTTGATAACTGGAAAAAAGGGGTTGAGAGGTTGCGAGGACACATAGGGAAGCCAGATAGTGTTCATGACAGGTGTGCTCAAAGTTGTCGAAATCTAATGAACCAAAAGCAACACATTGAAGTGAGTATGGAAAAACAATCTGACAAAATGAAGAAAGAGTACCTCGTGCGTTTAAGTGCATCCATTGACTGTATACGGTTTCTTTTGAGACAAGGTTTGCCTTTGCGTGGACATGATGAGTGCCATGAATCAAATAATCGAGGTAACTTTCTTGAACTCTTAAAATTCCTTGCTGATCATAATGAAGATGTTTCAAAAGTAGTGATGCAAAATGCACCTGGAAATAACCAGTTGACCTCACCTCCTATCCAAAAAGATATTCTTAATGCAATTTCAAAGGAGACAACAAATCTTATCCTTAAGGAAGTTGGAGATGAATACTTTGGAATATTAGTTGATGAGTCTAGAGACATATCAGTCAAAGAGCAGATGATTGTTTTCATTCGATATGTGAATGCAAACGGGTGTATTATTGAGCGTCTTCTTGGAATTACTCATGTAAGTGATACTACTTCTTTGTCACTAAAGGCGGCCATAGTAGATCTCTTAACACGACATGGATTAAGTATTTCAAGAATACGAGGCCAAGGTTACGACGGAGCAAGCAACATGCGAGGTCAGTTCAATGGCCTAAAGACTTTAATTTTGAATGAGAACCCAAGTGCTTTCTATGTTCACTGTTTTGCTCATCAATTACAATTAGCACTTGTGGGTGTTGCAAAAGAAAATGAAGACGTGTCAATATTTTTCTTATTTGTCTCACAACTATGCAATATTGTGTGTGCTTCGTGCAAACGTAGAGACAAATTGCGAGATAAACAAATACAGCGTTTGGTGGAATCCATATCTATGGAAATAATTGAAACAGGTTCTGGTTTAAATCAAGAAGCAACCTTGAAACGCCCTGGGGATACACGTTGGGGTTCTCATTATGGTGCACTTGTTAGCATTATCAACTTGTTCTCTATTGTTGTTGAAGTTCTTGAAGAGGTAAGACAAGATGCTAGTGATGCAAGACATAAAACAGAAGCATTGGTAACTCTTAACCATATTGAGTGCTTTGATTTTATCTTTCTGTTGCACCTAATGAAGAACATTTTAGGCATTACCAATGAATTGTCACAGGCATTGCAAAAAAAGATCAAAACATAGTCAATGCAATGAGGCTTGTTAACATCTCAAAACAACGATTACAAGAGATGCGAAGTAGTGGTTGGGAAACTTTGTTAGATGAGGTGTCAATGTTTTGTAACCAACATGAGATAGATATCCCTAACATGGATGATGTTTATGTAGCTCCAGGAAGGTCACGCCGTAACCTTCAAGAAACGAAAAATCTTCATAGATATCGTTTTGAAAGATTTTATATGGTCTTGGATCGTCAATACGAGGAGTTGAATGATCGTTTCAATGAGAAAAACACAGAGTTACTTCTTTGTGTAGCATGTTTTGATCCGAGGAACTCATTTGCTGCATTCAATAAAGAAAAGTTAATTCGACTTGCGAATTTTTATCCGAATAATTTTTCTGAGATTGAAGTGGAAATGTTGGATAATCAGCTTCAGACCTATATTATCGATGTGAGATCCGATGTCGACTTCTCTGATTTGGTTGGTATTGATGAGCTAGCTAAAAAATTGGTAGAGACTAGGAGACATGTGGACTACACTTTGGTGTTTTTGCTTTTAAAGTTGGTTTTGATTTTACCGGTTGCGACGGCAAGTGTAGAAAGAGCGTTTTCTGCAATGAAGATAATTAAAACCTCATTGCGAAATCGTATGGGCGATGATATGTTAAGTGATTGCTTAGTGCCGTATTTTGAAAAGGACCTCTTTGACAGTGTGCCGAATGAGAAGATTTTACAACGATTTCAGAATATGAGAGAACGTCGACAAGTACTACCACGCACTACGGCATAATGATGATGTACGTCTGCTTACTCTTGTTTATATTTCTTCCAAACTTCTTTTTATGGAACTTCTTTGTATTCGAATTATTTTGTGTTTTTAAATATATTATGCCTTTAATTCTTGACCCCGCTCGAACAAATTCCTGGCTCCGCCACTGTATATATATATATATATATATATATATATATATATATATATATATATATATATATATATATATATATATATATATATATATATATATATATATATATATATATATATATATACTACAACAAAAACACACACATATAAACACCCACATATTAATACATATTTTGATAAGAAAATAATAACAAAGATCTTGACATATTCACATGCTAGGTAACAACTTCATGACTTCACACCTACCATATAATGTGTATACATTGAATTATGAATAAGTATGTATTTTATCAAAGTAATTCACAATAATTCACACAACTCGCCGAAAATATACACATATATATATATTTACGTAAGAAATTGCCTATAAGCAAGAGAGGAGGGTCGTGAGAGGTCTAGGAATACTTCCCAATAAATTCAGACCGATTCGTAGTCACCGGAGTTTCTTAGAAGTCGCCGGAGTTGCAAGCCGTGGAAACGGGTCTTCAGAAAAGACACGATTTTGCCGTAGATAGGGGTGGCGGAGCTTCTCCTCGACGTGAGGATCATTTTTCAACTTAAATCGTCGAAATCCGTTACCTGTAAGTAAAGTTATCGCTCGCCGGAGTTTTCGGGATTCCGGTCGCCGGAATCGCGACCTGGAGAAGAGCTGGGAAGGAGACAACCCAGTCTTCTTGGGCCGGGTCGCGAATTTGGGCCGGTTCGGCCCGTTTTCAATAAAAAACTAAAAATAAAATAGTAAATGAAATAAATAAAATCTGGAAAAATATAAATTAAATACCTGGTATAAAAATACATATTCGGACCAAGAATAATTAAAAAATAATATTTGTAGCTATTTTTAATTGATTTAATTGTAATTGGGCCAAGTTGTACACATTTAGTAAATAATTAACTAAATGACGAAAATAATTATGAAATAAATATGGGAGCAAGCTAGATTAAATATATGACTAACTAGGACATTTGGGACCATTTATAATTAATAAAATTATAATTAGCATATTTAATTGTAATTAAACCGTTTATAGATATATGAAATTAAGTGAATAAATAAAGGAAATAATTCTAAAATAAATATCTGGACAACCTAGGTCAAGTATAGACCCAAACTATAGTTATGGATGATTAGAAATTTATAAAAGTGATGATTAAGTTATTTAATTTAATTGAGCCATATAAACTAGTTAAGTAATTAAATAAGGAAATTTTGATATTAATGGTGAAATAAATAAATCACTAAGATTGAAAATAATGTTCTGGACTTAAAATGATGTTTGTAATAAAATAAGGAAAAGAAAATAAAGTTGGGTTATCTAGTATAAATGAATGACTATATTTGGACTTAATAAATAAATTATTGAATTAGTTGACTAATTAAATTAGCGTGATTAAATTAATAATTATTATCCTTGATTATTAGTGATTTGGACTCCATATAAATTATTAAACTATTTGAACTCATAAAAATTAGTTGATGAATATAAACAAATTAATTAAGTAATGTGTACTTAATAAGTTAGTTAATTGACTTCATTGGACTAGTTTCACTGTACTAAATCAATTAGTTTAATGGATAAATTAGTTAATTTATAGACTTGATAACATTTCTGGACTTTATATTAAAAATAGAAAATTAAAACGAGATTAGAATTTGATTATTGAACTTCATTGAATTAGATTAACGTATTTAGCTATATTGATATAATTAAACTTATTTATTTGATTTAGTTAGTTCAATTAAATTAGTGAGTCAAATAAATAAAACTGGAGGATTGGATAAATTAATTTAATTGGGTTAGTTAGTATAAATAAACTATTGAACTAATTAAAGTTGTTATTGAGATTAGATTATCATTAATGATTATTATTTCGAATTATTGCCTAAGTCAAGTTATTATTAAAAGGGTTATTAAATAAATTATATAAATTATGTAAACTGAATTCTGAACTGAAATTGATTATTTAAATTCGAAATAATGAAATTATTATGTAGTTAATATAATTGGACTAGTAAACTATTTAACCAAACAAATTAAGAAAAACCGAATTGGGTTATTATAATTAAAGAAAATAATGAGAATGAACTGGAAATAAACAGTTAGTAAGATTTATTAATTTAATATTTATATTTAAAGAAGGAATTATGAGGTTAAAGTAATTAAAGGTTGGATATAAAAGAAATAACGAAATAATAGAATAGTTATTAATTTAGAATTTTGATCAATATTAGAAGGAGAATTCAAGTGAAGATCAAGCTAGAGATTTTATTAAGAAGATTATCGCAATTTAAGGTAAGTTCTATGTCAACCAAAATGTTTTGCCTCGTACTTATATGTATGCAATATTTGCACTATGTGAATTATTTATGAATTGGAAATTATATGTTTGACATGGATCGAATATTTTGACTATATGAATATTGGTGGATTATTACCTTTTATGGATGATTAAATGTATATTCTTTTTATTAAAGAATATTGGTGGATTTATATTTATTACAAAGGATATTTTTGAGAAAATGTGACAAGAATGATTTGGGGAAAACTTAAAGTTTTCATAATATATATTCTTACGTCTCGAGAGAAACACGAGGCGTGGGTGGTTAGGGCTACTACTACTTTTGGTGAAATTTATTTGGGTCGGTAACCAGTCCGGCAATGACATACTCCGGTAGACATCCCGGGCTTTTATTTGAGGATCAAAGATCCTTTGGTGGTCGTAGTAGTAGTTACCTAATTTATCCTTGGACAATGTCCCTTGTGAGTAGGTGGTAGAAAACATCCCGCCTACTTGGGTTTCTTACTACTCGGAGGGCTTAGAATCCCTTTTAGAGGGTGTGCACACTTAAGGTAGAAATTCAGCTTCCAATTGGTGGTCGGTGGGAGCCGGAATTCCGGGATGAGTCGTATATAACAACGACTCATTGGGCTCGAGGAATCTTGAGTTTCGCCCACTCTTAAAAGAATCTAAAGTATTACTTTTGGAGGAATTGAAGGATGATCTTATCTATTGTGGAAATTATTTTATGACATTAAACCATTTTGGAAATATGAGAGACTACTTTTCGATATATATACATATATAAAAACCTATTTTCCAAATTATATTATTTTACGGGTTCGGGTGGAATCTTACTTAGCTCTAAAGCTAATTTTTGTCTCTTTTCTCCTTTTCTCTTTGCTCTATTGTACAGATGATTATGATTATGAAGATTGATGTACTTGCTGCCCGAGTGTTCCGCTAGTTGCACACGTTTGATTAATTATTGTTGTTTAAAATTGTAATCCATAAACTTGTTTTAAGTTTTATCCGATGGCTACTTGAATTTATGGTGGATAGCCTGTGCACTCAATCATGTATAGGTTGAGTGTGGCGGTGACACACCTGTTTTTCCATTAAAGACTTCCGTTGTACTCTAAATATGTTTTATAATAAAGATGTTTTCATTTCAAAATGTTATTTTATTTTGGTGGAAAAAATGGGGGTGTTACAGGCGGCGGCGCTGCACTCAGAACGGCGGCGGCGGTGGAGACCGGCGTTGTTGGAAGTGGCGGTGGCTCGGTAACGGCGGTGGCGCGGTGGCGGCGGTGGTCCGTGGAAGAGTCGACGAGAGAGTAGGGAGGTGAAGAGAGAGTATTAGGGTTGGAGGCGTATGGAATGAAAAATTCGCTAAGTGTTGATTTTATATATCGGTGTAGTCACGGACGTAGTCACGGATAAATCCGTGATTAATCCGTTCGTATTCAACGCAATCAGTCCGCGGCAGACGAGGTGTCAGAGCCGCATTTGACCGGTTTAGTCACGGTCTTATCCGTGACTAAAACCGTGACTAAATTCAAAATTTGAATTAGTCACGGTCTTAGTCACGGATAAGACCGTGACTATACCGGCGGCCCTGATACCTCGCCGGCTGCCTGTCTGACAGATTAGTCACGGATAATGCCGTGACTAAGACCGTGACAACTTAAATTTTTTCAGTATAAATCATCCTTCTCCGGCCCAAGAAAGAATGGTGTGGAAAAAAGATGTCTAATAGAGATCCAATTGACTGGGATTCCATGTGTAGAGGTATGAAACGACTTAAGCTAATTACAGAGCTTATGGAGCCGAAAACCGTTGAAGCATACGAGAGAATCAAGGAGTTGATGTCTAGACCCCTTGAAAGTTTTGGCGATTATAAAGATGAGGAATCCGACTCATTCGGCAAGTCAAGAGCAAAAAACTTGTGTCGGATGCTTCAACGTGCACAAGAATGTTCGGAGTATATGGACCCGATCAACGAAGAAGCTCGAAGGAAAATTCACGAGTTGTGGGCTAGGCCTCTTGAAAGTTTCCGGTTGAGGAATGAATAATGTTAGTTAGGTTAATGTGATAAATAAATTGTGTGTTTTGTACTCATCTTTGAAATTTGATAAATAAATCTGTGTTAGTTGTTTATTAATATCTAAATTTATTATAATATTCATATTAGTAAAAGTAAATTACTTTTTTTTTTTAATTTTCGAATTTTGTTAATTTAATATACTTAGAATTATTAAAATTAATTTTCAAATTTCGAATTATAAAAAAATTATTAAAATTAATTTTGGAATCAATTATTAAAATTAATTTTTGAATTTTCGAATTTTTTGAATTGAAAATAAATATTTTTTGTTTTGAATTTTTAAAGTTTTGTTACATGGATATAATATGGAGTAATTTTAAATTTCGTATTGTGGAAATTTTAATTTTTAAACTTCAAATTGTTAAAAATTATATTTTGAATTTATAATATGGATATAACAAACTTGTTGTTGTTGAATTATTATGGAGTAATTTTTTGTTCATAAATAATAATGATGAAGAAAAAAAAAATCAAATATTGTTGGAGTAATATAATGACGAAGAAAAGAGCACAAATATTAGAAGTCAATAAAATTGAAATTACAACACAATTATTCGCTATCAGAATCGTCATTTTCTACATATACAGTATCTTCTTCTGTATCTGCACCGTCTATCCATTCACCTTCTTCATGATATTGAGCGTTTTGTTGTGCTACATACATTTCTTCAATTTCGCGCTCAGATGGAATGGTTAGGTCCGGAAGGTGCGTTTCTGGCATGACTTCAACACGTCCGCCATTTGGATCACTTAATTGGACGTTATAGTTGACCGTCTCAACAATAGGCGGAGGTTGGAAAAATTGTTGCTGAAAAGCATCTAGATCAACGTCCTTGTGTTGAGTTTGTGATTTAATTTTGTTCGAACGGACAGGACATGCACACACCCAAGGATTCTGTGTCCGCCTTGTTGAAGGATATTCTGCATAATAAATCTACGCTGCTTGTTGGGCGAGTATGAAAGGCTCATTTTTCGGGTACACACGAGAGTGGTTGACGTCAATCATATTATACTTCGGATTTTTGTGCACGCCACATGTGGGATCGACCCATGTGCAGCGGAACAGAACGCATGTCAATTTTTGCGCACCAGAAGGCATCTCAAGTTCCAGAATCTCCTGCAGGACACCAAAAAAATTGGTTTCCGAGTTATCATAACCGATGGTCGGGACACATAACCCGTTGTTCGTTGTTGGTCGGCCCTGTCCGTAATCGGCTGTGTGATATGTGTAACCGTTTATCACATATTGCCGCCACACTTTGGCACTGACACCTGGGCCCCACGCTAATGATACTAACAAAGGGTCGACAATCCCACGACTATTGATCTGTAAATATAAACATGATAATAACATTAGGTAAATATTGAAAAAACTTACTTAATAATATATATAATTAATGTGTGTATATATATACCTGATACTTGTACCAATTTACAAAATCAGAGTCCACCAATGCATCAATTTCATTCTCAGGAAAGGCTGATAAAGAAGCTCGGAATTCACTGTGAAGTCAAAAATAAAAAAACTATAAATTAACTACAAATTTAATTGATAAGTATTACAATTATAACTACAAATTTAACTTACTGATAAAACGGTGAGATTTCTGGACAATTCATGAGGATATAAGTATGTGCAATTTGCAATTCCCCACCCAGGATGTATCGTTGTGTCGCAGCACCTTTACCTCTGCCTGGGTAATTGAAGATGGAAACTACATTTTCATATAAATCCTCGCCAATGTCATCGTTCCGGGCAGGTCTCTTCCTTCCAGTGATGACGTCACGCTCGAAGAAAAAAGACGAGAACGTTGAGATTTCTTGTTGAAGATACGCTTGACAAATTGAAGCCTCAACGTGTGCCTTGTTGGTCACTTTCTTTTTCAGCTCTCCTAGAAATCTGCAATAATGCAATATAACAACGGTACACATGTTAACGTTTATTGTGAAATAAATATTCTTTTTTTAAATGAAATTGTGACTAACCTTTCAAATCTGTACATCCAGCGATAGAAGACGGGCCCAGCAGTCAAAACCTCATACGGAAGATGTATTATAAGATGTTCCATTGTATCGAAAAACGATGGAGGCATTATTTTTTCCAGATTACACATCAGAATCTTACTATATACAAACAGCTGTGGAATTCCAGCCAAATTTCCCGCCCAAACACCAAGTCTCTGACTGGGCCGGGTTTGAAAAAACGGGTTTGGATCCATTGATTAAAAATAGTACATGCTGCGCATTGGGCATTAAATGTAAAGTCATACAGAATATCAATTTGCTTGAACCAAGGGCACGCGTGAAAAGTGAATTTAATAGATCGTACATTGGCATTTATTGTAGGTTGTACTTTTGTTTAAACAATGGCCTCAATGAGTGTGTTATACAGAACACGCTACTTTAACAGGGTGTATATGAGGATACAACGAATGTATTTATTGTTCTAGCATAGTGTCTTTTCAAAACATTTTCAGCATTGAATGCAAAACCAGTATGCTTTTTAAAAAGCAAGTGTAATTCGGCCAAATTCAAATTTGTGAGGCCAATCCGCAGGGTTATTCTTATAAAAAGATTTTGCATTAAATGATGTGTACCATATCTTCTTGAGCAGCCCAAAATATTAAAAGAGATCTTCAAGTACATTGGCATTAATGGTAAGCAATAATGAGATTAATTTCAAACTCAAGTGTTACTTCATGCTCTTTGCCTAGCGGGTAATCCAAAGCCTCTTCACAAAGACACAGCACAAGCTTCAGTATAAATAGACCAACTTGGTCAGTCCATTCGCCATCCCACCATCACACAGTCTCTCACACATATATCTCAATATCTCAATGGCAGGCAGAAAATCAAGGAAGGTATTCATTCCTCAAGGAGATTGACCACACCAAAACCACATGGACTATTAAGGTTAAGATGGTAAGGGCTTTTGAAATGCCAGCACAGTTCCATGGAGGACAAAGGTTAGAGATGGTACGTGTTCATGGATTCACTGGTAGTATTACACCATTATTTTTACATTGCATTTAAATATTTCATGTTGTTTTAGAAAAATGTCTTTGTTTGTTGCAGGGTACAAAATTCATGGTCTAATAAAGAGGCCACAACTATGGAAGTTCAAGTCAATGACAAGAGAAAATACTGTTTATGCCACAAGGAATTTCTTGGATAAAATATTATAGGGGTCTCAAAAGATTATTAGAAAACAAAGCAATGTAGTCTAAATTTTTGTATAATGAAATGTTGTGCTCCTCTGAAAATTTATATGCGTGTGCAAATATGTTAAATGAATTTTGAAAATATGGACTATTGCATGTCTAATTAATATAGCGTCTGTAGAATACAATTTAAAACTAAGTGAACATGTGAGAAATTCTAAAACTAAGTGAATATGTGAGAAACAAAATACTATGTGAAGCATGCATTCTATAAACACAAAGAACATGTGAGATGCAATCAAATCAATTAGGGTTCATCAGACAACAGAGTGTTATATGACAACTACATATAAAAAAAATATTAGTTTATTTCTTTTAATGTTAGTTGAACACATTGTGTAGTTGTCAACTTAATTTCTTTAAATATTTCTGTAAATATTCAAAATCAAAATGTTTTAATAATATCATATAGAAACATTGCATTTGCTAACTATAGTATAATATATATTACAATATAATACGGTTTAGTTTAATTATACAGTATAAAAAGTAGTATAAAACAGTCTTATAATATAGATTCACATGCATATCCATTTAGTAACGTAAATGTTAAAGTATATATATTAGTTTATATTATCGATAGAGCTTTACCATAGATTCTATTTATAGTATATGTTGTACACGCATGCATAGTACATATAGTGTATAAATCATACGGAGTAGTATATGGTATAGTGTATTGTCAGGATTTTATAAAGATTATACTCCATATATAACATATAACAAAACTCGATTTATGTGATGTATGTTGATCAATTAAAAACAAGTTAGACAATTCAGAAAATTAGGCTACACCGGAAATTGGCTTCAAAAGGCCAACTTCATGTACGACAATTTATGCCTTAAATCTCATTATTTATGTATTTGTCCCTTCATGCAAATGATTTGTTTTTACCGACAAAAAATTCAAAAAACAAATATCATGTTCATCGGTCACCAACCATCTGATATTTCGACATATCTAGGATACAAATTGGTAATTATTTATCCTCAAACGATACACAAAACAAAAGACTTACAGATATAGATCTTAGTAAACCATTTAAAATCTTTTTGTCAAAAAACTCATAAGTACATTTTGCTCAAACAAATTAACACAACGCTCGGCCAAATGAAGAGCACATGTACGGTTGGAAATCCAAGAAATATTTGAGGATGAAATTAAGGAGTGATAGATACCAAACAACGCTTGCGATGCAGTCGCTACTCATTTCGATTTGGTCGGAACATAGGCGGGTTTCACAGATGACCGGTGCTAAACATCACGTTTAAGCATCCGACTAACCTTCGCAGACAGCCGGAAAAAGGAGCAGACGGAGTAGATGGAAGAGTATGCGGAAGGTTTGGGAGACCACTGGTATAAGCTTATAACCGATGGTCAAACGGTATAATAAGGTGTGAGAGAGACATTATATACTACGGGGGTTGGGCGGTTAGGTTTACAAGTTTAATACGGTGTACTCCGTATTTGGGCTGCAGGTGGGTTAGGTTCGTTTGGGGATTATTAGGTGTTCGGCCTGCAGGTAGTGGGTTGGGTATGTTTGGGGATTATTATTTTAGTTAATAGTGTGGTTGGTGAATAAATGGTTGGGTTTGGACTGCAGGTAGTTGTTTAATATTCTTTTATTCTTTCATTTATTCTTTCATTTATTCATTTCTTAAATTAATACTCCGTATTTCATAATATTTCTTAATGATTTTTAATTATTTAATTCTTACAATTATTTATTACTTCTAATACAAATATAACACTTTTGAGTGTGACAAGGTTCGTTTTATTACATTTTTGGATTTATCCAGTTTTAAATATGTATCGAAATTGAATTTATATGTTTATAATTTATATGTCTATATGTTTGTTTATATTTTATATGTTTAAATATGTATATATTTATATATATGTATATATGTATATATTATTTAAATACAATGTCTGTGTTTTTTGTATATATATTAAACTATCAAATCAAAAAATGTTCTCTTTTATAATATTTACATTTTCCCTTCTACGACAATATTTTTATTTCTCTTAACTATGGACACTTATCATATTACTTACTATTTTATTCTGAATTTAATTATTTATGTGTTTTTGTAATAAATTCTTATCCACACATTGATAAATTTTCATCCGCGCATCGCACGGGTGATAATCTAGTGGGAACAGACTCTTGTAGTCTCCGAAGGGATGCCGCATCCAAAACGCTGGAACATATCGATTGAAACAACAAACTGATTTCAGTAATGCAGGACCATACGTGTTCAGGAAGCATCTCTTTTAATGCAATTGGTAGAAGTCTTTGCATTATTACATGAGCATCGTGAGTTTTCATGCTCGCCGTCGTGGTAAGTTTGTTCATGTCTACGCATCTAGACAAGTTGGAGCAGTAGCCATCTGGAAACTTCTGAGACGCAAGCCATTGTAATATTGCTGCCTTTTGTGGTTCTGTGACCTGGTAGACTGCTTTTGGAACTTCCTTGCCCTGATATTATATATCAACAGAAAGTTCGGGTCTATCACACCAAATAGTCATATCTTTCCTAGCTGCAAGACCGTCTTTAGTTTTGCCTTTCAAATCCATCACCGTGTTAAATATATTGTCAAAGACGTTCTTCTCAGTGTGCATGACATCTAAATTGTGACGGATGAGAAGGTCTTTCCAATAAGGCAACTCCCAGAATATGCTCCTCTTTGTCCACTTATGGGTGTCACAATACCCATATGGCTCTTGGTTTGGCTCTTCCATAGTCGTAGGAAAACGTTGAACCCGGTTATAAATTTCTTCACCGGTCAATCTCAGGGGTGGGCTCTCTCGTACCGCTCTGCCTCTAATGAAAGACTTCTTGTCCTTTCGATATCGGTGCCTTTCCGGGAGAAACTTGCGGTGACAATCAAAGTAACTTCCTTTTTTGCTGTAACTGAGCCAGTTGGCACCTGATTTCTCCATGCATATCGGACATCCCATCAAACCGTGTGTGCTCCATCCCGAAAGCATGCCATAGGCAGGGAAGTCGCTAATGGTCCAAATGATGGCAGCTTTCATGATAAACATTTTATCTGATGAAACATCATAAGTTGGTGTCCCAACGGCCCACAGTTCTTTCATCTCCTCGATAAGGGGTTGGAGATAAATGTCTATCTTTCGCCCAGGATCCTTGGAACCCGGACAAATTAAAGACAAAAAGATGAAATGACTTTTCATGCACATGTTGGGAGGGAGATTGTAAGGAGTTAACATGAACGGCCAACATGAATAGTTCTTCCCAAACCTGCCAAAAGGAGCAAATCCATCTTAGCACAATCCCAGCCGCACATTTCGTGGCTCCATAGCAAACTGAGGATGGATACGGTCAAAGTGTCTCCAGGCTTCACAGTCCGAAGGGTGAGCCATCATACCCTCGTTGGTTTCGTGCTCAACATGTCATGTCATGTGTTTCGCAATAGCAGTCGAAGCGTACATCCTCTGTAGTCGAGGAGCTATTGGGAGGTAATACAGTTTAGACAGTGCAGACCTATGTCGTGGTTTCTTTTTACCTTGACGAACAGGTTTGTATCTGTCTCCACCACAGAACTTGCAGAACTCAAGTGCCTCATCCTCCTTCCAGAACAACATACATCCTTCCGGGCACACATCAATTTCAACACAAGGTAACCCCAACTTAGACATTAACTGCTTCATGTGGTAATATGAATCGGGAAGGGTATGATCTCGCGGTAGCATCCCTCCTACTGACTGCAAGACTCTATTCATGCAAGTTTCAGGGAGACTGTATTCGGCTTTTATGTTCATGGACCCAGTAACGGCGGATAGCTGAGAGTATCCCTCACAATCAGCATACAGAGGTTGGTCGGCAGCTTTTAGAACATCCTGAAATCTCTCAGCCAAACCTTCATCCACATAAGGTTGATAAAATGTCGGATTTTCATCCGCATCTGGTTGATACGAGGTTGAGGCTTCAGGGGGGTCGTTAGGTGGTTGTGGGGGGTTGAACTGAGACATCGGTACACCGCATGCGTCATATACCATTTGTTGGTCCCACCTCATTTCAGCACGGTCTCCCCACGCACTCATCTCTGGAGGGACGTAACGAGACGAACCTACCGTTTGTGGTATAACAGATGGATCCAAAGGTTTGCCGTGAGAAGTCCAATTATAATAATTGGGAACAAAACCGACCGCGTACAAATCATACCCAACTTCGTGTGGGTCTTTAAATTTGAGATTTTTACACTTTGAACATGGACATCTTATTTTATCACCACTCATATAAGCCGGATGTTCAAGTGCAAATTCAATAAATTCCCCGACTCCCTCGAGAAAATTTGATTGCATTCCGTACAATACCGCATCTTTATCATACATCCAACTTCTATTTTGTTTATACATTATGCCTGAATATTATAATAAAAAATTATATGAAATGCAATGCACACAATTTTAAGTAATTTATTTCACTAAATAATCAACTAATTTTCACTAAATTAAATGAAATGCACACAATTCACAACAATAATGCACAAAATATAAGTAATTACCTAATACTTAAATTTAACTAATATTATAAAAAATTTAAGTAATTTATTAACACTACATTTAAATTAAACATACGTTTAACTAAATTTAACTAATTCATTTAGTTAAATTTAACTAAATTTAACTAGTTCATTCCGTCCCCTTTGAATGCATCACTACGTTTAAACCTACGTTTAGCTAACTAATTTAACATAATTAACACATCACTAGCTACGTTTAAACCTACGTTTAGCTAACGAATTTTAATTAAATTATTTTTGTAAACCTACATTTAAACCTACACTAAATTATTACGTTAATGACATTTAATCTTATTAGTACTACACAATTAACAATTCACTAAATTAAATAATATGACCAAATTAAACCCAATAATTTGAACATGTATATAAAGTCATTTGAATTAATAAATAATACACAATTACAATAACAATTCACAATACACTTAATTAACACATTACTAACGTACGTTTAACTAACTAATTTCACTTAACATAAACATCATTACGTTTAAAACTACGTTTAGCTAACTAATTTTAATTAAATTATTTTATAAACCTAACAGTTTAACTAATTTTATGACATTACTACGCTTACAGTTGAATATGTTGTTAATTAATTAACAACCTCACTAATTTAATAGTTTTAATAATTTAAATTGAACCAACTAATTCTAAATAAAAATAATAATTCAAATAATATACCTTAACTGCATAAACGGGGAAAATGATAGAAGACAGACTACATCCTTCGATCTTTCAAACAGATACTGTATATACTGGGAATGAATTGGTGTGGTTCTGTTGAATGAGCTGCTCCTGCATATATAAAAAATTTAGTCACGGACTTAGTCACAGATTTGTCCGTCACTAAGCAAAACCGTGTCCATTACGCGTCCAATCCGTGTTAATGACGTGTAAATGACGTGTTAATCAAAGTAGTCACGGAAATAGTCACGGACATGGTCGTGACTAAATTTATCCGTACATAATACTGTTGCAAATTAATTTGTGGGAGATGGAAAATTAAATTTTAATCATAGTCACGGATTTAGTCACGGATGTGGTCGTGACTAAGTCGCCGGAGTAAAACAAGCCAGGCCGGAAAATCAAACGGGCCAATCGGAGGATGTTAGTCACGGACCAAATCCGTGACTAAGTGTAGTCACGGCCATAGTCACGGTAAAATCCGTGACTAATTTTTTTTTTTTAATTTCCGTGACTAGTCCGTGACTAGCCTAGTCACGGACCAAATCCGTGACTACGGTCCGTGACTAAACGCGTGTTTTTTTGTAGTGATACGTATGTATGTGGAGTTAAATATTACCTCGAGCACGTATATTATACAACCGGCTGTACGGTGAGCACCGTACAGCCGTCCCAATAACATGTCCAAGGGAAAAATAGCAAAATAATTCGGTGCCATTTTTGTAATTAATGTGAAAATCGAGATTTCCGCTAAATGAGCATTAGTGTACTCTTAATGAGCAATAGTCCAATTTTAATGAGTATTAAGTGTCCAATAATGGGCACCGTGTTATTACAAGAAAGTTGATATCACAACTAATAAATGGTGGCATTTTCGTAATTTCAATGAAAATCGCGGTTTTCGTTAGATGAACATTAATACTTGATAAGTGTCCTAGATACCAACTGAGTCCCAAGTGAGGTAAAAGTCTAGATGAGGGTGAATATACTTTTAAATCTTTTTGTTTTTCAGCTCATTTTCCTCTAACAGAATCTGTTCCAATATCTTTTGGGAGATATTGAAACATGCAACAGAAGTCTTGACCTCAAGAGGGTGACACTTTATAGAAACAAATGTTATGATTTTTTTAGTTGTGAGAGAGATGGATGTACCATTGTACAA